TTCCTGCTGCGATTATTCCAAGAGTTATGTTTATTTTCTTTCAGAAAAAAGGGTCCAGCAAGGAAAAAAATTCAGTCAGTTATCTTACAGGAGTGTCTGTATGAGCTGTGAATTCTAGTTGCTTCAGCTACATTTAATACAGGCTGAGGTGCTTTTTTATTTTACATTCTCTTTTCTGTATACACTATGTATTTTGTCCTAGAATGAGAAACTGTCCATCTTCCCTCCCTCTCTCCACAACTAGTGTAGAGGTGTTTGATATTTGTGTCCCAATGACTGTGTGCCCTATTGTCAAGGAGGTGTGGAAATTTCTCATCCATGTACAAAGTCTGTTTCTTGTTTCTCTCTTACCAAGTTTGGAGTCTTGGCTCAAGATGCTTTTATTAATTCAGTCCAGAATTAGTTAAACAGAATGTATAATTAGATTTGTTACCAAATGAACTGGTATAAATCTCTGCTTAGATCTGTCTAGGTCATCCTGAGGTGGTGACCTCCCCTTCTTCCACACATGCACGTAGGTGACATGCAGTCTAAGCAGAGGATGCCGCTAAGCTGCTGCCCTAACTGCTTGCCTTAAAATGTTTCTGGTGACATGCTTCTGTGATGGTGTGTGCCTACTCATTCCCATGTGTTCACATTTGAATGATGACTGGAAGACTAAGAGGTCAGGATGTTTATGTCAAGTAAGGATCAACATAAATGGTTTTAATTAATGAAGTGGAAATAATAAAAGGAATTATTTCCTAAGTTTCAATTACAAAATATTTTAATGTGATTTTTCTGGGGTGTGAAGTACCCAATGCTGCTTCTTATTATATTTTGAACGTAAATCACCAAGCTTTGTAGTTGTTGCAGTCATTGTTTGGGGTAGTGATCTCTAGGCTAAAAGAATATTGCCTGATTCTCAGGCATACACATGACCTGTGAATACACTTGTTTGAAAACTAAGCAGATTTGACATAGCGCCAGTGACAAATGGGAAATTCTTACTCTTGGTCCTTCTGTTGGATTCTTCAGGCTAAGTGCTAACACATATTCTTTTTAATAGAAATAACCCTTGAGAGTAGAGCTCACCAGAAAACTGTCTGGTGAGAAGACTCATTTATGCAATTATTTTTCATGTTTGTTATCTTAACATATTGAAACTATAATAAATTACTGAAATACCTCTAAAATGTCCAAATAGCAATGCTTTGATTATGGGTCAAGTTCATTGCTCTGTCAGTATTTCAATATGTTTCAGATTACTTTTTTTTTTTTTAATCTATTTCTGCTATTTTAAGAAGTGACAAGCAGCAGTTATTACCTTAATTTTTGCCCCATCTCCCCTGAAGAACACCAAGAAATACATGGGTTCTTTTTTAATATGCCAGATAGTCTTTAAATTTGAAAGACAGAGAAGCATTTATATAGCGTATTCCTTTGTGCCAGACAGGATCAACGTCTACCAAAACCATTCCTTGCAGATATTTTTCTAACCAAATGTTCAGTGGTACGGTAGCAATATATACTAACTTGCCTTTTCAGTTTCAGTAGTTACCATCAAGATTTGAGATCTGATTGGCAGTGGTCCTCTGACTGAAAAAGTTTGGGAGCTACTGCCTTCACATAATATAATCTTAAATGTCCAATGGCAGCTCTTGTACATCTATGTTCGTACTTGCTCAAACCTATTGTTAGATTTTTTTTTTTTTTCCTTTTTCCGGCATATAACTTAAATCTCTGTTCCTGAATTCTTCAGTTCAGTACTTACCCATCCAGAGTAAACATGCAGAATACGTTTCCTTAGAGTTAATAACAAGTTTTTACATATTTGGCAACTATGTATGCATCTTCCCTTGGTCTCCAGACTGAGTAAAAACAACTGCCTTGATAAATTCTATCTTCCAGCTTTCTTTTCCTTTGCAATCCAATTGATCTAACTTTCTCTTGTCTTGTAGTACCCAAACAACCTATATACCTTCCATGGACCTCAGATATTTTGGTCTTTGTTTTACAGCCCATTCAGTTTGCTCATGTTCATAACACTGATACTGTCTGCAGTTTGTGATTTGTTATATTATTGGGTTTCTGCAGAACTGCAATGCACCCAGTTAATTCTCATCTTGTATTTCTCCAGTCCATTATTCCCACTAGTTATATGACTTTGCACTTCTTTTTAAGGAAATCTTTCTTATTTACTTCCAAGTGGTTTTCCAATGTGTCCAAATAATTTTGAATGCTAATCTTGTTTTCTACCATGCTACAGTCTTTTCAGACTTTGTATAAGCTGCCGACTTAATAAAAGTTTTCTTTGTTGTATTATCCAAGTTACTTGAGTATTGGACAGTGTTAGAGACAGGACTGACCCCCATGGATGAGATACTTTCTCTCAGTTTTCCAGAGAACCACTGAGGTTCTTCTAGAACCTCCTTTGACCTCTATGAAGTCTCAAAGGTGGTAGGAAGCAGTTTGAGATAGCTTCAGTATACTGAGATGCACGTCACCATGTCTGGCTTCACTTTGGGTACCAGCACTTTCAGAGTGAATTTCTGGAAGCTGTTTCTGAGGTTACTGCCAGTTTTCACCAAACCTTTTTGCCTGGAGCATATCTTGGAAAAAAAAACAAAACCAAACCAACTCAGTATTCCAAATATCTCTCTTCCGGGAGACGTCAGCAGGGCGCATACCATCTTTTATTACACCAACTGCCGTTTGTAAGGGAGGGAGTGGGGAGGCACTGTGTGATAGTTTAAAAACCAGGACACACAGAAGCCCTTCTTAGAAGTTCTTTTGGTGATAGAAGAATTTTGGTGATACCTGACACAGTTGATTTCATGATGCAGTGGATTTTGCTCCAGGAAAGTGGTTGGGGGGGAGGTGTGCGTGTGCGCGCAGTTTTGTGTTTTATATTTTTAGAACAACCTGTCTTCCATTGCTTTTTAATTTCTTCTTATTGTACAGTTCCCTTCAAAACCAATGGAAGAAATTCTGCCTTTATGTAATTAGATGGGAAGAATCCTCTCCAATAAATTAAGTTACATCTGTGCTGCTGTTCCCCAAAATAGGCACAGAGTTCAGTACATGGATACTCATTCCTAGAAATAGGACTGCCTTTTATAGGAGTCTCTTTTCCTGAGTTCATGTGGGGATACTAGGGAATTTTATTTTCTCTTTATATCTGCAGGACTTTGTCTCTGTAGTCTCATCCAACTTGAATGTTTTCATTTACATTTATTAGATTAATATTGTCAAGTAGTATGCTTCAGTTTGGTCACATGCTGTTTCAAGAAGTAAAAGTAGCACCAGTCCACCTAGGTGACAGCTGGTGTACGTAGTGAGATGCAGAAGGTGAAAGCATATTGCATAACATCTACCGTGGTTTTCTTTAAGCAGAAAATGATGTTCTGATTTGTGTTACTGAGGACCCAGTTGTCTTTCAAATACATCTGAATAGATTTAATTATTATTTAAGAAAAAGATGGATGCTTGTAACTGTCAAGACTTGTTCTCTAAGTAGTGGATGTAATTCAGGAAAAAATAATAGTAAGTTTTCAATACAGCACTGCCATCTCAATGGCTGTGTATTGGACCTGGAAGGCATAATATTTAGATATATAAAACTTTATCTAAGTGTTTTGTATATATTTTGAGGTAATGTAAAAGGTACAGTTTATTAAGGTCTGATTTACTAGGAGATTTTTACAAAGAATTATTATGGATAACTGTGATTCTGTCTGTTTAATCTGCTCTCTCATGTTCTCACTGTTATATTTAGTACAAAAAAATCCTTAGGTTTTGCATGGTGCAGATGAGGAGAGGTTTATCTCACCATCTACTACCAAATTTTAGCTTTTTCTATTGCAGTCTGAGGGAAATTTTGCATCCTAGCTCTTGGTTGATACGTGCACTAAAGAATAGGATTCTAGATCTTTTGCCATGTTGTATACAGAGCAGTTCAGATTTATAAGGAACGCTGTTCAAGCTCAAAACAAAGCCTTTCTTTTCTTAAAAAAAAAAACCAAAAAACTACAAAACTGATACTTACTGAATCCCTTAATGGGTCTCCCTTTGAGCCCCAAGAAGAAACGTTCAGGAGATTCCTCATGCTCAGGAGTTTACTACAGTTTGTTTCAGCACCATGAAGGAACGTAATGAATTCTTTCATGGTCTTCAACTTTCAACATGGGAACAAAAAGCAGATTTGGTCCTTCATCATTCCTTTGTGGTCCCTTCACCTGCTTGCTGGCTCAAAAGGTTGTGCTTCCTTCTCTCTGCCAGTTTCCTGGGATCAAGCAAGAGATGATACATGAGGAAGGCATTCAGACTTGAATCAAATATTACCTCAAGACCAGAAGAATGACTATCTTTGCATCTGGTATGTGGACTTCAAGGAGGTTGCATCTTCTGTGAGCAGATGAGTATAATGTGCTCTTTTTAATTGAAGCAACATCAACTTTGGCTTTCATCATATCAGTATCTCAAGAGTCTATGAAGACAAACTTAGATGTTTGGGAAGAGTATCTTTTTCGGGGTTTTTTTGTTGTTTTTTTTTCTCTCTCTTCCCCCCTGCCCCACCTAACTAGTTACCAGGATTTCCTCTGCTTTCAATGAAGAATTAGATTGGTCCATTTGTGGGGTGTTTGTAGGAGTGAGTGGACAGAAGTTGAAGGAGTTCAAGAAATGAATTTCGTGTTTCTTTGGAAGAGGTCTGTGAATGCTGTATTTTAGGTGTTTCAATGGCCTTGGTGTGTGTGTCTGGTCCTTGCTTTATTTTTGTTCACGTTTTTCTTTCTGAAAATGCCACCAATTTAAGAGCAGCTTAGTATAGAACAGGGTGCTCTGATCAAAAAAGGTCAACAGCAGCAGCAAAAGTGTGGCATAACCACCAGTTATAGTAATACCTCATTGATTCTTTTACTCATGTTTGGCTCTTACTTGGGAAATGTATATCCAGTCAACTTTAAGTCATCTATTGTTGTTTATCTGAATTGTACACAGAGAGATTTACAAAGACAGAAGGATTCTGAAACTGGCTACAATCAGATTCATTAGGCTGCACTCAAACTGATTTTTTAGATAGCTGTCTTCTAAATCTAGCTCATATTCAGAAGCAGTTTATCTACTTTTATGAAGTTGATGTTCAAGATAATAAACATGAAAGGTGCTGCATGGAATCAGCCTGCTTCAGCGTGGCAGATGCTGAGATAGAGTTAATAAGCACAATCAGATGCTGCCCAGTTCCTGAAGAGCTCTTCTGAAATCCACATGCTGTGCTTCACCACTCTTCCCTGCCCACCACAGGGACTTAACTCTGACACTGTGCGTTACGCATCCTCAAATATAGAGCACTGGGAAGCTCTTTGCTTTCGGCTTTGCCGGCATAAATGGATCCAAATCAGCTGGATCCTGAGTTTAGCCATGTCCAGTATTTGTATCATACCCCTTATCTGTTTTTTCCCCTTCTCTCTTCCTTCTGTGGGGCAGCTCCTGGTTGCAGATAAGGGCTGTTTTGCTCTAAACTTCTGGCAATTTGGTGAAGGTTTTCAGGTTGAATCCTGATGGTATTTTCTTGTTATTTGCATATGTGGATTTTATTTGTTTGTAGAAGAAGAAAACATTCTGATTAGGAAAGAAACTAATTCTTGTGTCCATGTTCTTAGTAATTTGGAGGCCAAAGAAGATTCTTAAAATCACTCAGAGATGAGGAAACAAGGAATCAAGTAATTCACTGAATCTTGCAAGTATTCGTTTGTTATTTGTTGGTCAGGTAGCCTGATAGTCCAGTTATTGAGGTGGATTGACACTAGTTTTCACCGTTCCCACATCTGCACCAGTTTTGGCATGGTGTCAAGGAATTTTATTGAATCAAAATAATTTTGTGTAATGTAGTTTTTGTTTTAGCTTTACAGAAGTATGACATTTGCCTGTGATCACAGTGAGAAAACAAGAGGAAAGAGATCAAAGAATATCAACCAAATGATACTTTAGGGCAAATTATATGACTAAAAAGAAAACATCTGAAGTTCTGTCTCTTACAAAGGCTGCATATATTTTTACAAGGCAATTGAATGATAAAATAGATTTCTGTGTCTTGTACCTATCCAGATGAATTTTTTATGCAGTGTTGGGAGCAGGAGTTTGTTGACTACTCTTGTTTTCAAAGCTATTGAGTAAGTTTTGGTTAAAGCACTGGGGAGAGAAAGCCTCAAACAAAGGGGCTCTTGGTTCTAAATTTTTCATTTCCAAAACTTTTTTTTTTTTCATACTTATTAACTGGTCTAATAAAAGTAACTTTTTCCTCCTACAAAACTGTTTTACATTCTTTACTGATTTGTGGGTTTGTACCTGTAGATTGACTGGGTAAGGCTAATGCATCCTGTTATTTTGGAGGAAGAAAAAAGTGCTGCTCCTGTAGTTTGAGAGATTGCTCTTTGAATAAAATTCATTGGTGAGCATTGATGCTTACAACAAGCTGCCCAAAGTCTCTCATAGAGATAACATATAAAGTGGCAAAGCTTT